GTTTCTATGGAAAAAAATTTATCTGCCTGTGAAACTCACTGAAGAAACTAGTAAGGAAGAAGGATTTTTCATTTCTTCAAAACCCTATTAGTGTACATTTTTGGAAAGCAGCCTTAATAAATATTGCATCATACTATAGTTACCTCTTTGTTGACTTATATGAAAATTCAATATGCATTTCTTAAGCAAGCATAGAGTATAATTTTTCAGACCAGTGGTTTTGCTATTGCACGAGAACTTTCTTAATCAGACTTTATCTCAAAGAACAGACGGTGACAGAGATGAAGTAATAATGTGGCTATGAAATAATCTTCTAGAGGAAAAACTGTTTTCTCAAGTGGCTTTAGGGACGGAATAGTCAGTGTATTTCTTTGGGTATAACACACTGCGCAAGGTTCTTTCTACTCAGGCATTTCTGGTCTTTACAAAAAGCAGATAGTCCCCCTTGTGTCATTTTTAATTGATTTTTCAATGCATTACAAGAGATCATTGGCACCAGTCCAGGAAAAGGCAGACAGCAAGTAGGGAATTCATCAAAAACAGACCCATTGATCACTGGATCTGATGAAATAATTAGGACTTCATGTTTTAAATACAGTTTCATACTGTTATTTTGACTTCTGAAAGTAAGAGAAAATCCCTTTATGCTAGAAAATCACTGAACAAAATTATGATTTCAAAAATTTTTCAGCACACTTATTTTTTGGAATGTCCATGTAGAAATTGCTAAGAATTTTTTATTGGCTCATTAATAGGAGCAGTACCAGTGAGATGCGTTTGGTTTTGCAAACAAGTCAGTTTTGGGGTGTTGTATTTACAATGAAGTCATAGGCAGAGCAAATCATTTTGGTGCATCCATTCCCAAACATTTGCAGTAATGGGCCTTCAAATGTGTTCATTAACTATGATGGTATTTTTTATAAAAACATAATCTTGGAAATCAATGAGATGCTGAAGGGATATCACACTAACATCAAAGCTGTAGTAGACTTCAAATAGTATCAAACATAGTTCCAAGATCTGGGCAGCTCTGCTCTCCAGTGAAATTTGTGAGATAAGTTGGTATATAACAATTCTGCTGTCTGAGGATGCTCTGTGAATTTGCAGCGGTGTTGTTAACTCAGTAGATTTTACCACAGTCCTATTTGGACATATGGATAGACGTGGGTTATTTTCTTCAGTGTCTGCTTTTTTGATGTAGTAAACAAAATTGTCATCTCAAAACATCCCAGAACCTTAAGGAAGACAATTGCTTTTAATATGCATCAAAACAAAAGTAAGAGTTTGGTACCGTGCTAAATCCTTGAACTTCCTATTTGAGCAAAGAGTGAAACTTCATTGATGCATTGGCAACAGCTTATGAAGTGTGAATTTCTCAAGCTTCTGCTTCTATCTGGTACTAGAAAAACATTCAGTTGCGTTGTTGTTGTTTTTTTCTTAGGAGTCAGATTATTTCAAATATATTGCTTTTTACTTCTTTGGTGTGAACCCTGCGGTTCCTTGGGGGGGGTAGGGTGGTCAAGGTATAAATAAATACTTGTTTCCCTCTCTCTTATAGGAGACCTGCAAACAAAAAAGAAATAGAAGCCATTAACCTACCTTGTTCAGAGAGAACACTAAATCGGCACAATATGGCACAGCATAGTATTGTCCTTGGATTATTTATGATGACTGTTTTATCACTGTTGGATGGAAGTTCAGCTTTCCTGTTAAATCAGCGTCTGAAGGGAAGATTTCAAAGAGACCGTAGAAACATCCGCCCAAACATCATCCTTGTTCTTACTGATGATCAGGATGTAGAACTTGGTAAGAGCCCAACATAATGAGAATTTTAGCTCATGAGTATGGCACTACTTTTCCTTGAAGCTAGATTCTTGTGTTCAAAGTAATTATTTTTTTGCAGTGTGAAAAATGATAGGCAGAACAAGTAGCAAAAGTTTAAACTTACCTTTATGTAGAAAGTACTTTCTGTCTGCATGCGATTCAAGGGCAGCAAAAGTTAGTCTCAACTTAAAATGTCAAACTGCCTGTTTCTGTAAAAGTATGAGATTCCTGCCTATCTGTCTTCATCTAGACATCTCAACTGTGCTTCTGGCAATTGCAAGTAGAACCGGGGAAGCTGCATGCCAAAGCAGTAGGTTTAAATTCGTAACTGATTATTGCACCATATAATTACCCACACTTTTTGTATAATTGCAGACATTCATTACATATACAATTTTAATTTTAATCACTTAAATGTTACCTAACGTAGTCATATTATTCTTGGTATTGTCCATTTAGATGTGTAGTTAATTACTGACCAAAATGACTTCATAGGAAAAGGCTTTGCTGTGTTATTCAACGCTGTGTTAATTGTTGAAGAAAGGAGATGGAGATTAAACACACGCTTTGCCTAATGATTTGGAATAATGAATTAACTGACAGAGTTTGGGTTTTGTTCTGTTACCTGAACAAGCTTATATTTACCAAATGTTGTCTGTAGTTAGGAGAAGTGATTAACACAAACCAGTTTACATTAATAATTTTGCATTAGAAGTACACTTTTAAGCGAGTATAAAGCCTGGATCGTCTGGAAGATGAGAGCTTCTGTATGTGTGGTCTGGTGGGGTTTTTTGACAGCTGCATGGATGGGAAAAATTGGAAAACAGACCTCACAGAAGAAAATGGAGCACAATAGTAAAGTTAATCAACTTGTGTTACTTATACGCTTACTCATTTAGTTGAGAAGTTAATCACAGCGACGTGGCAGTATTCTTACAGATGATTCCTTTTTATCAGTATCATGTCTGCAGTACAATAGATGTCGCATTCTTCTCAAAGCCGGTGAGAAAGCCTGCTATGGCAGTAACCCCACCAAATACAAATGTAATTGTAGGATTGTAAATGAGTAGGATCAGAAGATTTGTTGTTGCTGTCACTTTTTTTTTTTTTGAAACGGTTATTTGGATCACATATAAAGCAGTTTCAATAATACATATCCAAAAGAACCTAAGTAAATTATCTTGCAGGCTCAGAAAGTGGCCCTAAAAAATTTATCATCTTCTGTTTTATGCTAGCCTGCTTGTTTCTGATGCAATTGTCCAAGTCCTTTGGGCAGTGTATTTGTCTTCTCTGATAGTCTGATGCTTTTGAATTTCAAGCATAATGGGCATGTGTCCACACGAATTAGGATCTAACTAAGGAAAATCCATTTGATGAAGCTGAGATTTGATATTTGTCATTTGCCACTAATGGCTTTGTGAGACCCAGTATTTGTTTGTATTAATTTTTATTCTTGTCTATTGTCTGGTGAGCTGTCCAAGTTAATCAAAATTGCCATTTGTGGAGATTGTGGTTAATGCATTTAAGAGAGATGAAAACAAGATGTGAATTACAAATAAAAGCTAAAGAAAATTTGGAAGTATGAAAGCGTAACAGAGAAAGTTGTGCATAACTAAGATGTCGTCTGTTTCTAAGAATATTCTGTAACTGATGGATATTGTAGTTTTCATTGTGCTTTTGTGGCTACTTTTGAGGCAAAAGGAAAGACAACACAATCTGAAGTGCTTTTAAAAGCCTTTCCTTTATTTGATTTCCTCTCCTTCGCCATTTCTCCCTAACTCCACTTTCAGCAAGACAATCCATCACTCTGCAAGGTTACTGGCTTCAGGAGAGAGGGGGGGTTTTCTTTTTTTTTTTTTTCTTTTTTTAATTTATGTTTCTGTTAATCATGAGTTTTATCTGGGAAACCAAACCTTGGCCATGTATTGAAAAGAGAAAAAGACTGATGAAATGGGTGCAGAATCTCCAGGTCAAAGGAGAATGATTGTAAATTGTAATGGATACAAATGGGAGAAGACAGATGAGAACACCAAGAACATCTGAAACATACATACTCAGTTGACTGTGTAATCGAGAGTTGTACTGACAAGCACAACTGAATATGAAGGAGTATACTGACGAGGAGAATTAATTAGAAACAAAGACTTTTTCTTTTCCCTATTAGAGCAATTTAAATTCAAGTTAGTGTAATACTGACGTCCCCCGTGTGATGGACTCAGCATCTCCAGTTTAATTAGGTTGCCTGCCATATTGCTGTGGTTTAGCAAACCAGCTTATTTCATTATCTCATAGTTGGAGAAAGATCTGATTATTTAGATGATATTTCAGCCACGTTAGAGAAATTGGAGTGAGAGGTGATCTGTACGTCTCTAACATCTTCCTCTGAACAACTACAAAAACGGCATGGAAGTGGATAATTTTTCTTGATTAAAATACATGGAGATAAGAGCCTTCAAACTTTTTAAAAATTAAATATTGGGGGGAAGGAAATAAAGCTGTGAAAAGGTTGTCTAATGAGGTTCAAATAGGATAAAAATAGAAGTCTTTAGGGGACAGGTACTTAACATTCTGGGGTTTGGTTAACTTCTCTGCATATGGATATCACCTTTTAAACTGTGCTTCAGAGTAGACTAAGTCACTTGGGACTTAGTGCAAGTTCTTCAACAGCGGGAGCTCCCTTAAACTCATGTAAATTATGACTTCAGACAACAAAATGCAAGTAGTGAGAAAGTCAATATTATTTCGTAAATAACTGGTATATTTTCTCCGTTAGTATTAGTAAAAGGATCAGCCTTATCCCTAAAGTGAACTGTGAAGACACACTAAGCGAAGTTATGGATACCACAAAATTTCAAGTGGAATTTCAACCTAGATTTTGCTTCACTTTTTTCAGTGAGCGGCTTGAATGCATGAAATTGATTCAACTTTAGTATTTTCATGGTAGTCCAATGAATACTTTTAAAAAATAGCTTAGAAATTTCACATTTAACTACTAAATCATTTGTATTTATTATCAGTGGATTTTGACAGGTGACAGAACATTTTCTGAATTGAATATTAACACTTCAAAGCATGACTTCCCTCAGTACCACCACTAATAAAACCCCAGAAAGTTTTTCAACTCATAAGGTGATTCGGTGAGGTTCCAGTTGCTGATTAACACAATGACTAATCTTCTGCCACAGAAGGATCAATTTCTACTTTTTCTCACAATTCTGTGTTTGTATTGGAGACAAGCTGAAAAAAATATGTTTTGGTTGGCTGGTTTAATGCCGTTTAAAATATTTAAGCTGGCCTATTTAAGACAGTACAGAAGAGTATGCTGCATTTTTACCTTCCACTGATCTGTCACTCTGTATTAGTTCTCAAGCTGGGGAAGCAGATTATATCATATGTTTTTGTATTAAAGACTGTTGATATATAGGGCCTTGTCATTACCACAGTTTTATTAAAGGAGGTTACTGTCCCCAAGGGGAGTCTTAACATGTACCGCTATTTATGCACAGATGCCTCTGTCATTTGAAGGGGTGGTTAAATTGTATTGTAATATTGGGATGACAAAACATTCTTTCCGTCTGCCTGTTGATGCTTGGACTAGCTTATAAGACAACACAGAGGAAACGTCTGCAGTTTTTAGGCTCACGTAATGTAGAAATTGACTGTTACAATTGTCAACTGTGTTGTTAGTGCCTTTGAGCACTAACACTTATCCCACAGTTAAAATCTTGCTTTCTTCAGAAACTTTTTTGATACGTGAAGTTTAGCAAGTTCTAAAGGGGGAGTGCAATAACTTGCGTTGGTTCTTGTCACAAAGTGATGTGACAGAGATGTGTTCTGACCTGAGAAATACACAAACAGATTTTTTTTTTTTTCATATTTGTTCCAACAAAATGATCTCAAGAAAACTAATACCATGGCAATTTTTAGGTGGAATGACTTAAAATAGCAATTACCTTCCTTCATGGTGCCAGAGAGTCAGATTTCATATATGGCTTAGGACCATTTTCCCTCTGGGTTTTGACTCCTGGTTATATCAATGTGCCCTGTATCAAATTGACTTACTGTTGCGATTTCATAATGATATCCCTGCCTAAAGAGCTTAGAAGAAACCTAAACGCATTACTGACAGAAACAATATACAGTTTGTACCAGGTGGTTGCAGAATGCATTGATTAAAGCTGAACTATTAATCCAACTCAATCTTGGGTACATTAGCCCAACTCTACTCCAGCATGAACCCATACCTTCATCTCCATGTTGGCTATTGGCTTTCCCTGCCCATAACAGGAAGGGAGGGTTGGTAATGGAAAGGTTTACTCTCCTTTGCAAGGTTATGCTGATGACAGGTACCATTCAAGTTCTTTGAAAAATGGAAATTCTTCCTAGATGAAGTATAACTCACTCTGATGCAGTTTTAACTATCAGACACTGATAGACGAGGAAAACTAGATGTCTTTTTTCTTCTGATCCTTCGTGTTTCTGTGTGTGAGAACAACTTGTATTTAGCTAGGTGGATGTCTATAGTAAAGATCCAGTCTTTGTCCAAACCTTGTCTTAAACAGGGCAGCATTGTGGCTTTCAGTAATTGTTGGCAAAATAGACTTTTACTCTCGTTACCCCAATTCATCCAAGTCCCTGTCAGTTAAACTTCTTTGTTTTTAGGTGGTGGTTATAAACTACATGGTTTTATCTGTCCCAAGCAGTCATCTAAAAATCTGATTCTGCAGAACCAAGTCCTAAGAAAATTTAGGGAGTTTCAGGTAACACTATTATCAAAATGGATCAAGTGGATAGATAGAACTCAACAGGCTGGTTATGGAAATTATTATGGTGGCTTTACTTTGTCTTTGCTTCAGTGAAAGTTACAGAAATCAATACCTGCTAATACCTCACATTAGGGAAAAGAGCATTCTATCTAGAGAACAACTCTAGCAGACCCTACTGGAGTAGGGGTTTGGACTAAATAATCTCCAGACGGTCCCTTCCAGCCTTGATGGTTCTGTTTTGCAGTAGGTTGGCACAAAAGGCAGTGCATTAGGTATCTTCTGAAACCAAGGATTAAATAATGCTTAAAGAGCGTGCAAACTTTGGTTGAGGTTGCTGCACAAAGTGAATTGCATCTTCAGGTCACGTTGTCTCAGTTTAATTCATGCTGGTTCTTGCCTTCAGCTACTGGAACAGTGGCTCCAGGAAGGCTGCACAGATGGTGCAGATAGTTACAGTGGTAAATCTTGATCTTAGAGAGAGAGAGATTAAAAAACCATTATGATCTATGTCAACAAGTTGAAGTCAGATCTTAACGTAGGATTTGGTCCTTCATAAAACAGTGGGATTTGGTGTTTGACCCTTCTTAAAGCAGTGGGAGCACTTCACTAGAGAGAGTAGAATAATCTCTTTGGATTTGGGTTCACTGTGAGGTTACAGTAGCCTTACTACCCATGCTTCATTCTTGTCTCTGATGAAACACATGAGCTCTCGGTTAGCTCTTCTGACTGAAACAAGAAAATAATTCTGAGATGATTTTCTTTTTCCAGGCTCTATGCAAGTGATGAATAAAACAAGGCGGATCATGGAACACGGAGGTGCTCATTTCATCAATGCCTTTGTGACAACACCCATGTGCTGCCCATCTCGCTCCTCTATTCTTACGGGCAAGTACGTCCACAACCACAACACTTACACTAACAATGAGAACTGTTCCTCTCCGTCATGGCAGGCTCAGCATGAAATACGTACGTTTGCAGTGTACCTCAACAACACAGGATACAGGACAGGTAAGATCAAGGCTGCATCCATCAGAAAGCTTTCTTAGACTGATTAGTACAGAGGCTAATGTATATAATATTTTAATTTGTTCTCATAATGGACTGCAGCGGTGCAGAATGCCAGAGCTTCAATCTTGTGTGTAGGTTTAGCTTCCTTGTACTTTTACTTGAGGAAATTAAAAAAAAAAAAAAGAAAGAAAGAAAAATACTTTTTTCAGAAGCTGGGAAGGCTAAAATAATGTGCGTGCTTGAACCGAAGACCTAGCATGTGTAGAATATGGCCTGCAATTACCTGAAGTACACAGAACAGACAAGAAAGATGTTGTGGAAAGGAATTAGTGATTGGATTATTTCATAAAACATAATTAATCAAGCTAAGAATACGAAAGAAGGGACTGCTCCTTCTGTGCTTTGGGGCAGAGGTATCAGCTGGATTGGTTTCTCTAGACAATCCATTTCCAGAAAGGTGTTTAGGGTAAATAAGGACGGAGGAATAATTGGGAAGATCAAATGTATTCCTGAGAAACAAATGATCCTCTTTGCAGGCAATGCTCTTTAGGAATAAATATACTATAGAAAGGATTTCAGAAAATAAGTAGCACATGTTTCACACCTATTTCCTTCTTGTATTCTTCAGGTGTGGGATGTATGTCCTTGGCTGTTACAGTGGTTTTGTCACTTTTCTTGCTAATGCCTTTTGTCATGATGAGAAACAGGCGTAAACCTGGTTCTGTTTGTGTTATTTATAGTGTATATATACTATGGTATATAGTAATTATTGATAGTATGGATTTTTTATTTGAATTTATAGTATTTGAGGCTTCTGGAAACTAGTATAAATCTTGAAAAATAACTGTAACAAGATCATGATTTTCTTGTGAGTTTTACATGTTATTGCTGCTTGGTCTTAAAACAAATAGGTAATTTCCTTGTTTTGTTTTTCTAAAATAAAGACCTGAATTAATCTGGGAAGAAATAAATTAGAGGAAGTGCACATACCTTATGAAATGGTTGCTGTTTCCCTCCATTTATCATTCCTGGCACTAATACCGATGAGCATATGAATACCACACCAAAGTTAATGTTTTATTCTTAATAGATTATTTATTTTGTGTTTACTGATGTTTGTCTATTGTAATAATTTTTATATTTAGTTACTATATTTTGAGCACCTGCAATTTCTACTAACTTGCGTAGCTATTGCAAGTGTCCTGGTATTCATATGTCCTATATTTTTACACTAACGTAATATTTAAATTCAGACCCAAGATCTCAATGAATCTATACTACATTTTCAGTCTTCCTCCTAATTTGCAGACTAAATTTATTGGAACACACGGAAATAGCACTTTTACAGGTACAAACCAATCTTCAGGTACAAATGAGATCTGCATTCATGTAGTTAAATGTGATCTGCTGTTATACAAATTTAAATGGAAATTGCCATCACTGGAGGCTGTTGTTTATTTCTGATCTCCTGTTAAATTCTTGAGTTATCCACTATGAAGGATGTCAGTAGTAAGAAGGTATTACGTACCTTTTTCTTTCCAAAGATCTGATCAGATCTACCTGCTTCAGAAACAGCTGGAAATTGTACATTAGAACCTTGTTCACTCAGTTTCTCAAGCTTCAAAAGTAACCTGGTAAGGAACGTATTTTGGAGATTATGAATACAGTTTCTCCGAAATGGGGAGTCCTCCTGAACATGACTGCAGTGAACAATGTAAGATCTGGAAAGCACAGGAGTTCATTTGTAGGGTTTTTAAAATTATTTTTTGAGGTCCGTGGTATTACTGATTTGCCCTGCAAGCATACAGTTTAGCTTCTTGATCCCCCTTTATTTTTTTTTTTGTGAAGAAGAAAAGGAGGCCATGAAGAATAAAGCCTTTTGAGGCTTGCTTTTATATTTAAATTCACAACCTTGGAGTGAGAAAGCTATTGTTTTGGAAGGGAGTTTGGTTTTTTTCTTAATTCATAAGCAACGTCTTCTCCTTGTGTTTTCTCTTTTCTCTTTTGTTTAAACGTAAAGGAAGAAATTGTACTCTCCTACTCCCACTGTTTTTCTTTTCTGCTGCTCGTTTCACATCTCCTTGCCCTCTCATCTATTCGTTGTGATCTCCCTGTGTTTTGTGCTGTTGCAAAAAATAATTCTGCTGGGGACCATTCTTTGTGTTGTAGTGTTTTCCCTGTGGTGGTGGCATTTGTGGTTTGGATCTATACAGACTTGTGCTGCAGCAGACACCTTTCGGAAATCTGCTGGTGGTATGCAGGCAGGAGGGAGCAGTGCGGCGCAGGCTTTTTTTTTGCACTGAGTTGCAAGTGAAAAATATGAGAGGAGATGGAAAACGTGCAACTTTCCTATAATTGTTTCTCAGTTTCAGCCTTGGTTGTCGGTGTTGTATTTTTCAACTTTGGCACCTTAAAAAGTTTGGCCAACTTTGTTAGGCACTGGACTTGGCAGAATAGAGATGAAAGGAACTGGTTAGCTCAAGGGAAGTTCTGTCTTTGGCTTTAACAGTCAGGATTTTGACCGTCATGCATAGGGCTCACTGTCACTCTATGTGGATCAGTTAAATATCATGACAATGCAAAGGACGAGTTTTCCTTCTACAGTGAAAGCCATTGAGACAGTAGGTGTTACAGGTATGTCTTCCTCTGCATTCACCTGTCTCACAATCTAAAAAATGTCAGTGCCGTGAATAGTGACTGAAAGGCTGTGTTCTTGTTACATAGCCACTACATGTAGACAACAACCTCCCAATCTCAGTATATTAAGCACTCAGTCCTACTTTGAAGAGCTTCTCACATCGTTGTCCTATTATGTATCGTAGGAAATTAGGCAAGAAGGACAATTTATGTAAACAAATGAAGTCAATTGATGAATTAATCTTTAGAAAGGTCAGTATAAGCAACAACTGAATCATCACTAGCTTAAAATGTTGGTTGCTAGTACTTTAGCTTGGAACAGAAGGTGATTAGAATGGAAGAGAAACAAAGAGATCCTGTGGCAAACATTTCTGAATGTCAGAGAATTTATCTGCCAAAGGTCCCTGTGTAAACATTTACAGAAAAAAGGTTCTGCTTTCTGTGAACATACACATCTCTCTCTGCGAGTCAGCTCTTAAAATGCATGATGCATTGTTGCATGCTTGGCTCCTGCAGCAACAAATACCAAGATGTTTTATTGGACTACAGATTTAAACTTTTCCTTAGACATTACTTAATGAGAAAAGCTTCTCTATTCCATTTGCCGGGCTGTCTGAAAGAGTAGGTCTTAAAATTGGTGACTGATTCCAGAATATTTTGCCAGCCTTATCTGCAGTCAGGAAATGAAAAGATGTGTTTACCTTATTAAATTCAACAGAATTAGGGATGATGGGCCAAATTCAGCCTGGCAGAAGGACACTTATGCTTCAGTGGATCTTCTGAGAGAGTTCTATTAATTCATGTTAGGGCTTAGTGCGGCTCAGTATGCAGCAAATGCAGTACACCTTTTGGCTAACTTACCATCCTTGTTCCTGTTGAGCAGTACCCAATAGTACAGCTAACCCTGTTCAGTTAAATGAACCTATTATCAAAGGAAAAAGCTAATTCTTGTGTGGTAATATGCCAGTATCTCACTCTGATGGTAAATCCATACTTGAATTGTGCAAAGAAGTAATAAATGTCGTTTTGCACCAGTTGTGTATTTTGAACCTAGAGAAAAGTTGTTGTGGGAGGTCCATCTCTGCCATCATAAAAAATTTCTTGGGAATAAAACCAATAATCATTCTTAACACTGTCGTGGGGCTTTACAATAATTAATTAATGAATTCATTAAAATTCAGTGAAAATCTTCCATTTCCTCCCATTAATATTAGACTAAGAAGGTACAGTGGCTGACTGCATTCAAATAATTATTTTTCCACTTCACTGTCTGAGCCTTTGACGTTTTAAAGTGTTTTTAACATTAAATTGTAAGAAAGAGAAGAGCTATTAGTCAATGTTTATTAAAGGAGGAATGAACCTGAGAAATATGTGACCAGATTTTAATATCTAGATACATGCCAGGAAGAAAAATTCTCAGATTATCAGTTTCCTGCTGTAGAATTTGCTCTCCACAATAGTTGCTGATTGCTTTTTTTTATTACAGAAATACTTAAAAACTCAACTGAAGTTGATCTCAATGTACAATTGCTTGCTAGGGAATAATTGATGACCTAAAGAATCAAAGGGTAGACAGAAGCAGAGGCAGAATAGTGAAGTACTTTCTACGAGGTCACGTGCAGGTGAAGAGCAACATTAAGAAGAGATTCAAGTTTTGCTTCACATTTCAGTGCCCTAGCCACTACATCATGCTGCACTTCTTCTTTGTCATGTTACATGCATATAAAGAAAACGGGTTATCCAGGTCAGAGTAACATCCTATATGCAGGACAGATAGCTTCTGCAGCTGATGAAGAACTGAAGGCTATTTAAAAAATAATAACCGAGTTATTTAAGAGTCAGACTTAATTTTTAGAAGTGATTTGCGTGATTATGAACTGAAGTGTTACGATATTCACCTCCAAGACACCTAGGTGACTTTTCAAAACTGGGTATCGTGTTTCTGAATTATTTATCTTGAAGGCTGGGTAGTTGCCTGAGATCTTTTGGTCTCTGTATAGAAATATTATCGTAGCAAGGTCTGTCAAATTGTATCTGTTAGATGGTTTGAGACTATTGGACTTGCAAGTCGTGTGAAGAAGGTTCAGCATAGGGGCTATATCATGATAGCTGTTACTGGAAAAGGAAACCAAGGAGCTATGAGGGAAAGGATGTAAGAAGAGTCCTGATATATAGCCCAAATCCACTGACTCCATACATGTTACTGCTTCTGGCAGGCTTGGTCCATGGCAGTGAATTACTGAGCTGGAATATCCTGCAAATATTCTGGAGAGTGACATTTTCAAACAAAAGACAGTTCTGGATTTCCTGCCTCATGTGTTAAAGACTCTTTTTTTCCTCCCAGTTCTGACTTCAGTTTGATACTATAAGTTGGTTTCAAGTCAAACATGCATGTGTCTTTTCCCCGTTTCTATGAATTGAGTTCTAAGCATCAATAGTCTGACTTCAAACTTATTACAATGTATAGTAACTTAAAGTGAGAACACAGGAAGTAGAGCTGCAGTCCTGTGAGGATTACACAGAGGCTGTAGAAGTGAAGCTTATCTATACAGCTACTGTTTCATCTCCTAGATTCAGAGCTTTGTGTTATTTAATGCACATTTTAACTATCCTGAAGAAAGGAATATATACACTTCTGTGATAAATATTTTAAAATCTTTCTTAGTGTAGATCTTTCAGGATGGCAGTACTTAAAAGAACGTATTGACTTACTAAGTTTTTCATCTTCCAGTGCCATTTGTGTTCAATATTAGGTAGCTTATCAGCCAAAAATGAGAAGAGGTTGTCTCCTCCTCACTCCAGTTTAAGACCTTTTTTTGTTTATCCAGCTAGCAATTTAAGTCTTTGTGATATCTTCATGCATTCTTTTTTCTTTGTTTTTCTAGAGTGCTGGTTTTCTTGCAGAAGGTTTTCAAAATCATCAAATTTAACTTAGTAATGTAATTTACTGAATACAGCTTTCCGAAGCTGTTCTTCCTAGATGCCCAAAGATGTGAGTGTACTGTGTGGCCCACGTGGGTATATACTTGGCCTGTGCAGCAGCGATACACAATTTAGTGGGCATTGGAAAAGCTTAGTGACATGGGAGTTCAAAGATAGAACAATAAGATGTATGCCACTTTTTAATAAAGTGTGTAGGAGGACAGCAATGATTTCAAAGACTGGCCGGTGTCTACAGTATAACCTTTACAGATAGATTCTAAATCCAGTTTCTGGAAGTTGAACTCCAGTTTCTTGGAACTGGAACATCCTCATGTCTTTTTGTATGTTTTAGGAGCACAAGTAGTGTCCTGAGACCTTTGTTTCATCTTCCAAGTTGGAGATAATAGCACTTCCTATCCTTGTGCGTATATATACACACACCCCCCATCTGTATGTTTTTGAGATGGGTGCATTTCAGGACTGTAAGAAACTGACTGGTTATTTTAAAATAAGTAGTGTCAAATAAATTTTTTTTGTCAAAAGTAAAAGGTAAACATACAGACAATAAACTACCGTAGAACCGAGATTTCTTCTCATTCAGTGAATGTCTTATTGAAAGGAATTCTGTGGTTACGTTGAACCAGGATTGGACCTTTCTCCTAATTGGATTCGGTAAGACTTTGTTGTTTTTACTTATGAACTAATGCTTTTAGTAGTGTTCTTCAAAGTTTATTGCTAGATGGAAAAACCAGCTTAGTTAAAATACAGCAAATATTTCTTCTTGCAGAGCATATCTCACTAGGTCCCTGAAACCTGGTAAGTGGGTTTTCTTCAAATCCTATAGACAAAATGGCTCTTGATGAAATTCTTTTGGAGATGGCCCAAACAGCATGGGGCAGACTTTGGTGTTTTAGTAAAGATTCAGCATTAAGCAAGATAAGCTTTTGCTTAGACTGCTCATTATTAAAATAGGCCTGACAGCCCACTGTTGGGGAGGTTTTTGGTTTTTATGTGTGGAGGAGGAAATGTTGCGTGTGATGAGTATAAATCTAAAGGTTAATATTCTTCTGTGACCGTGACTCATAAAAAGGGGGAGTGATACCCATGGTAAATTGTTAATAAAATCTGTCATTGTTTTGGTGGTTTTGATGTTGGGAAACATTTTGTGGAAAGTTTGAATGGTCAGGATTGGCCACCGAGGCATATGAGCAGACTGGGTAGTGATAGTGAGCTGTGTAGTAGAGTAGTGTTCTAAACCACATAGCCAGCCAGCACTCCTGCTTTCTCTTGCGCTGCCCAGTATAGGAAATGATGCTGTTGCGACACTAAGTCATCGTGTCCTGTATTGTAATATAATTTGATCATATGAAGACTGCCATTTCTGTTTTTTTTTTCCTTTAACTTTCGGAGGGTGTGTGTGAGAGGGATGTTCAGAAAGGTATTTATGCCTGACAATTCTAGTTGTGTCTCAGCTTTTGTAAGCTGTGCCATAGACATTAATGAAAGAGGGCTTTGGCCCCAGTGCCATTGGGAATTTGCTCACCTGAGAAGGACAAGCAAGACTTGGCTCACCATCAGCATTTTTCAGTTTGATTCCTTGTTGACCATTTCAGAATACTTGGTTTGAGCCCTTTTGTTTTATTTGGCTTCATCTGCTCCCCTTCAGCCAATTCCCCTGGTTCATTGAATAGAGCTTGGCACTGATCCTTGGCTGCAACTGAGGAATGTGCGATGCAAATTCAGGAAGAGAAACAAAGGTGTCATAAAGATTACCGTGCATTGCCTTTGTCTTGCTGGATATCAGACTAACTCCTGGCATAACAAGAAAGCCTGTAGGCTGTTCTAACTGCAGTGATTACCAGTCACTGTACAAGACGATTTTTACAACTATTATGTTTCGTGAATTGTAATGATAATTTTTATTCCAGTTACAGAGAAAAGCTGTGCATGCAAAGGCTCTTGCCTTTAGTATTACTCTTTTTATGTCCCTGTGACGGTGGATGGAGCATGTGATCTTTAAGAAAATGTTGTGCTATCAGTGTACTATAGGTTAGAGAACAATTAGGCCATCACATGCAGTAGATTGAAGTAAAATGTGTGCGTATACACCTGTACTTCTTAGTCTGGCTGGTTAAGTACTTCAGGGTATTCATAGGACTGATGCAGACATACAAAAGAAAGAGCAAAAAAATATCCGGAGCCCAGTCTCCCTTAGCATCCTGAAACTGATGGAACTAAAGGGATCAGAGACAAAATGTGGTTTTAAGCCTCTCTTTTCCCCCTTAAAAATTCTCTAACATTTAGGAACTTGCTGTAAGTTCTATGCAACCCATTAGATTTACTGCAGTTACTGAGGTATTAATACTGATGTCGTATCTTCTAATCTTTGCAGTGGTGTCATATTTCCTGTTGTCCCTAAAGGTGCCAGCTGGGACTGTTTTGTTCAGGTGACTTCAGCACTTGGGAGTTACTTATTTTTGGAAAACCTTGTCAGTTATTTTGATACCTAGTGAGAACTGATGTGTCTTAAAAAATCTTTCCCATAGAACTAATTTTAATACTAAATGACAGGCTTTTATCTCAGAACCCCCATAGTTCCACTGTAAATCCATTAATTTCACTGGGTTTATCTCATCGTACATTGTCAGTTTAAGAGTATATTTGGCTGTGTTGTGAATGCAAAGCTGACTTGACCTTTGGGCTTACTGCTTGTTACATGCATACTTAACCATGCTGAGAGTGCTTTCTCATCTGCTTTCCTCTGATTGTCTCTTAAAGGACAAGAAGTACTGAAAGTAATTTTTACTAGATATGTAGCAGAAAGAAGATCAGAAATGCTTCCCCTTCTCCTAGTCCAAAGCTAAGGGATTGCTCAAATGTAGCTAATTGTTCAACTTTGAGCTGGGGAAAACTGGTATCAGATGCAGAAGTAAAAGATTTTGGAGAGATAAACAAATCCCTATGAGTAACTAAGAATCGCAGCTAAAAACCCAAGTTAACACCTGGAAAGTTGGCTGTTAAAAAATGTCAGAAAACCAGTGCTTTAAATAGGTCTTTAAAGTACTTAACACACAACACATGTAGAGGGTTAATAGCTTAAAACATGAGTTGAACTTCACAGTCATGGCGGTAAGTGCAATTTAATGGGGTGCTAATAGGTGGATACAGCTGACTAGTGTGAAGGATGTGAAGAGAAAACTCCAGGACAAGGGAGGTGTAGTGTAAATACTGAGCTTACTTTCCAGGATTAACAAAAAGCTGAATTTTACTTTTTTCTAGCTTCAGTATTTTTTATGAGTATGAATATTTACAAATACATTCCTGAATTCTAAAGTCCACGAATCCTGGATTTCAACTGAAGATGGGCCTCATAAGTCACCTAGTCCCTCATGGGATCATAGGCTAATTCAGGTTTGAAGGGACCTCAGGAGGTCTCTCTTCCACCACCTGCTCAAAGCCTACCCCAGGCCATGTCACTGAGGGCTTTATCCAGTCTAGTCTTGAAAACCACCAAGGATTAGAATTGCACAGTGTTTCTGAGGAACCTATTTCATTCTTTGACTCTCTGTGAAAAAGCTTTTTTTTACATCCAGGCTGAACCTCACCTGTTTCAATCTATGTTGCTGCGTTCTTGTCCTCCTGCCATACACCACCATGAAGAGCCTGGCATTGTCTCTTCAGTAATCTCCTTGCAGGTGAAAAGGTTATTAAGTCCCCCCGAAGCCAGGCTAACGTTGCTCCACAGAGTATATTTTTCTAGTGCATAACCTGACTTGACTTTATGTGTTGTGAGTGTTTTATCTTTCACTGCTTCCCCAACAGAATGTAATGTATAACTGTCAGGAAGTTGTTATCAGTGCTTCTCTCATACATTCCTGTCTTGATTTCCTTCTTTCTTTATTTAAAATGACGATAAATGCTATGATCATACTGTTAAGCAGGTTATTAGCAAAATGGATAGGTGATCCTGGCCAGAAGCTAACAAAACTGTGTCTAAACAGACGACTAACTATGGTCAGAATCAGAGCTGCCAAATCAAGGAGACAATGAAAGACTGGAATTCTGTGTCTAAATCTGGTCTGGCAGTTTTACACTGGTGAATCTCTGTTGATTTCCAGTGCGTTCCTGTTTCTAGTTTGAGAGCTGAAAAAGGTCTGTTATAGCCAACTCCCAATGTTGGGCAGTCTGTATAGAATAAAAAGGGGTGAATGATCACTTGCGTATTCTGTTGGTGCATCCTGAATTATCTTTGTTTTCAATTTAAAGCAAAATTTTGTGAATATCCTTTGTAGATGCATTTTGGCTGTGTGAAGTGTTTTTAGGTAGGCGTTAGGAAATGAATTAGTGTTTAAAAAAAGGGAAAAAAAACCCTAACAAACTTGCAGAATTTGGTAGATGATACAGAAAGATGATAGAACTATATTGAACATTTCTGGTGATGGTAAATGATGCCTTGAAGTCCGTTCTTTTGATTGTGCTTTTACACTACGTTTGACAATATGCTAGATCTGCTTTTTAAGCAATGAAGTGTGGCCTGGATATGTCTGCTTTTGTGTTACATTCAGAGCAGACCTTTGTATTAATTGATAGCACAGGCAAAATTCTTTCGTGTGCAATTTTTTTTTTCCTTACAGGAAAACTTTAAAAAACAATACCTCTTGTAAAAATTCCCCTCTGTACCAAAGAATTTTCCAGGTGCTTATCATCGAAGGGCAAGACTCTGAGAAAAGAACCTTAGAAGGTTATGAACCCCTGCGGAAGTGGTAACAGTGTACAAAGGACTCAATTCTTGCATATCCTGTTTTATGTAGTCATAGGAGAAACTATGTTGTATAATATTTAAAGCAAAGGAAAATCACATTCTTAATGGATTTATTAAAAACAGCCACTTGAATGTTTTTTAATGATCCTTTCATAGACTAGATATAGGAACATGGCTGAGTGTATCAAACCTGTGAGGGTTTAGTAACGCAATCTTGGAGTGATTTGAAATTGGATGTACCAAAGGCATATGTACTCTAGTGAGCAGCTGTTTCTGGTGGTGAACTAATCTGATGAGGGGAAAAATTGTGTTAGAGAGAATCTTTAGAATCCAAAATCAAAATATTTCTCCAGTATCAAGAGAGCTTTATTGTAACCCAGTACTTTGTACTCCAGAGGAGTGATGTTTAAAAGTTTTGAAATAACAATCCTTTAAATGGCTGAGAAGGAGGAGGAAAAGAAAAACACGTGACATGGAAGATTTGAAACAGCAGAGAAAATTATTTAAAGCCTTTTGACATCCATGAAGGATTATAAAGACATCCTGAATGTACAATGGGGGGTATGCAAAAGGTGCTGGAAGGAACTTCCGCCAGACTTCCCTTTAATGCCGCTGCAGAAGAACAATGAAGTAATTCTTTACAGAATGCCTCTTTCCTGAGTTCTTCAGCTGGCTCAGCCAAAGGTTTTAGGAATGGATTGGTTCCTGTCAGCAGAAATGCGAAATATATCTCTGTATGTTGAACAGAGGACAAAAGGCTTTGGACTGCCTTGTGCATACCTGCGACTGTAGGCAGTGGTCAGTGTTTCAATCCTGTGTTCCTTGGCTGCTAGGAGAACAACAAATGTACATCTGTGTTGTTTAATTACCCATAACCGCTGTGTGTTGCATTTTATTCTTTAAAAATGAGAAGTTAAAAAAGCATAATGATTTGAAAGTGTATATTGATGTATATCGATGATAACTTTCTGATGCAAGTGGTGGAGGAACCAACAAGGAAAGGCGTGCTGCTGGACCTCGTGTTAACAAACAAGGAGGGACTGGTGGAGGATGTGAAGGTTGGAGGTAGACTCGGCTGCAGTGACCATGAAATGGTCGAGTTCAGGATCCTGCGTGGAGGAAGCAGGGCAATAAGCAGGATCAAAACGCTGGACCTCAGCAGGGCTGACTTTGCCCTCTTCAAGGAGCTACTGGGAGGAATCCCGTGGGCCAGGGCTCTCGAAGGCAGGGGGGTCCATGAGTGCTGGTCGCTTTTTAAACAACACTTCTTCCATGCACAGGAGCAATGCATCCCCCTGAGAAAGAAATTTAGCAAAGGAGGAAGGAGACCTGCATGGTTAAACAAGGAGCTTCTAGCGGAGATCAGGCAGAAGAGAAAGGTCCATGGAATGTGGAAAGAGGGACAGGCCACTTGGGAAGAGTACAGAAACGTAGTGAGAGCATGCAGGGATGCGACGAGGAAGGCCAAGGCTCACCTGGAATTGAAGCTGGCAAGGGATGTCAAAAACAACAAGAAGGGCTTCTTCAACTACATCAGCAGCAAAAGGAAGGCTAGGGACAACGTGGGGCCGCTGCTGAATGAGGCGGGTGTCCTGGTGACGGAGGATGCGGAGAAGGCAGAGCTAATGAATGCCTTCTTTGCTTCAGTCTTCAGTGCTAAGACTGGCCCTCAGGAATCCCAGGCCCCGGAGGTAAGAGAAGAAGCCTACAAAGAGCACGACTTTCCCTTGGTCGAGGAGGACTGTGTGAGGGATCGCTTAAGCGATCTGGATGTCCACAAATCCATGGGCCCCGATGGAATGCACCCACGAGTGCTGAGGGAGCTGGCGGATGTCATTGCTGAGCCACTCTCCATCATCTTTGAGAGGTCCTGGAGGACAGGAGAGGTGCCCGAGGACTGGAGAAAGGCCAATGTCACTCCAATCTTCAAAAAGGGCAAGAAGGAGGACCCAGGGAACTACAGGCCACTAAGCCTCACCTCCGTCCCGGGAAAGGTGATGGAGCAGCTTATCCTGGAGGCCATCATCAAGCAAGTGGAAGAAAAGAAGGTTATCAGGAGTAGTCAGCATGGATTCACCAAGGGGAAATCATGCCTGACCAATCTGATAGCTTTCTACGATGACATGACTGGCTGGGTAGACGAAGGGAGAGCTGTGGATGTTATCTACCTTGACTTCAGCAAGGCTTTCGACACAGTCTCCCATGATATCCTCCTGGGGAAGCTGAGGAAGTGTGGGCTGGATGAGTGGTCAGTGAAGTGGATAGAGAACTGGCTGAATGGCAGAACTCAGAGGGTTGTCATCAGCGGCGCTGAGTCTAGTTGGAGGCTGGTGACAAGTGGTGTCCCTCAGGGGTCAGTACTGGGCCCAGTCTTGTTTAACTTCTTCATCAACGACCTGGATGAAGAGTTAGAATGTACCCTCAGCAAGTTTGCTGACGACACCAAACTGGGAGGTGTGGTAGATACACCAGAAGGCTGTGCTGCCATTCAGCGTGACCTGGATAGGCTGGAAAGCTGGGCAGAGAGGAACCTGATGAGGTTCAACAAGGGCAAGTGCAGGGTCCTGCACCTGGGGAGGAACAACCTCATGCACCAGTACAGGCTTGGGGTGGACCTGCTGGAGAGCAGAGAGGGACCTGGGTGTCCTGGTGGACGACAGGTTAACTATGAGCCAGCAGTGTGCCCTGGCTGCCAAGAAAGCCAACGGGATCCTGGG